TTCCAGAATGTTACATCACATCCTGGTTCAAGCGAAACGCCTCGCACCGAGCAGGACTCCTCTCCCATCCCCGCGGGAACCGCCGACTCCCCCGCGGGAATATCTCCCACCGAAGGAACCGACGGAACCGACTCTTCTCCCGAAATCGCCCCGTTTTTTGGAAAACGGGTCCGCGTGTTCCAATTGGTCGACGGATCCCCGCGGGAATTGCTCACCGGGAGCAGCTACGACGTGGTCTCGGCCTCCCGCGGGGGGAGTTTCACGCTCTTCCTGACGTCCCGCGGGACGGTGCTGTCGCTGGCGGGAGGCGAAGAATGTGTGGCGGGAAGCGGGATTCGCGCGCTCTCCGCGGCTCTGCGTCGCGAACCGCGGTTAATCCCGTCTCTGCAGGTGGAGCGGGCGTTACGGCACAAGCGGCTGGCGGAGGTCAAAACCACGGGGAAAGCGTCGTTCGCGCTGGCGACCACGGGAGAACTCTACAGCTGGGGCGACGGTCCCGCGGGGGAGCTGGGTCTGGGGGAGCCGGTGCGGCAGAGCCAGGCGGAGGTGTGTGTTTCCCGCGGGGCTGAGGGGTAGATCGTGGTGCGGCTTTTACCGCGGCAAATCGTGAAAGTGGCGTGCGGCGCGAGTCACGTGCTCGCGCTGGACAGCGAGGGCGCGCTCTTCGCCTGGGGCGGCAACCAGTTCGGGCAGTTGGGTCTGGGGGACCGGAGAAACCGCGCGGAGCCGGTGCGTGTCGTCGCGCTCAAGAAGCAGCACATTGTGGACATCGCTGCGGGAGACGGGTTTTCCGCGGTTCTGGACGACCACGGCGTGGTGTGGACCATGGGCCTGAATGAGCTGGTAGGGGCCCGAATGACCCGAATCATCATTAGGGTCAATGTGGCTCCAATGCGTCCAGGGAGGTCGGTATTCCCTCCGCAGTGCGGCAAGTGCCCAGCGCGGCGCAGTCGCTCGCATGCGGCCAATCGCATGTGCTGGCGCTCTGCAAGGAGGGCGAAGTCGTCACGTGGGGCTGCGGGTTCCACGGGGAAATGGCGATCCCCGCGGCCATCGCGTACGCCGCCACGCCGCAGATCGTTCCATTAGCGCATCATCTGCGCAGCCAGGAATTCGTTCGCTTCGTGCGCGCCGACATGCACGGAAGTATCGCGGTTACCTCGCAGAACCGCGTTTTCCAGTGGGGAAACGGGGAACTCGGAGAGCCTCGCGAGATCTACGCGGTCCCCGCGGGAGAGGGCTGCATCGTCGACGTCACCGCGGGGGAGGAGCCGCTGATTTTGGTGGACGGGACCGCGCAATCCCCGCGGGTGGGGTCGTCCCGCGGTTATTCGCTGCCGGCGGCCAATCACGTGCGGAGTTTCGAAAAGAGCCGGTCGCAGTCGATGGAGTGGTAACCGTGGAAACGGAGGTCCAGCGTAGGGTTCTGCAGCAGCGGCAGTTACTTCGCGCGTGGGCCAATCAGCTGCGTCCGGGGCAGGCGTTTCGTCCGACGTCGGCATTGCTGAGTTTGGTGGAAAAGGGGGTTCCTCCGCTGCTGCGGCAGCGCGTGTGGCCGAATCTTCTGGGGAACGTTCTGAAAGTAACGCCCGAGGCGTTTCAGTTGTACTGGTCACGTGCGCAGGCGAGTCCGAGCGGAGGGTTTTCGGGGCTGCCGGGGAAGGAGGCGACGGTGCGGCTGATCGACGAGGATCTGAAGCGGACGTTCGTGCCGTTGGGGTTCTTTAATCGCGGGGAGCCGCTGTATGATGTGATTCGGAAGATGTTGCTGACGTACGCGTTTTATCGGCCAGATATCGGGTACGTGCAGGGTATGTCGTTTCTAGCGGGGATTCTGGCCGTCCACATCTGGGATGATTATCTATGTTTTCAATGTCTGGCCAACCTGCTCGGGAGCGAGCATCTCTACGCCTTCTACTCCCTCAAGGTAGAAACGGAGGCGATTTCCCACATAGCCCGCGTTTATCCAGCGTTACTACGAAGTCTTCGACTCCATTTTCAAATCCACAAATTCGGCCCTTTTTTCGTATTTCCAAGTATTCCTCCTTTTTTTTCACTCCCATTTCCACAGGCCAACGAGATCCGAACGGACCTGTTCCTCTTCAAGTGGCTGCAGACGCTGTTCGCGCAGTGTTTCCCCATCGAAGTCACCGCGCGGCTCTGGGATTCGTTCTTTTTGGAGGGAACGAGCTTCCTTTTCCGCGCGGCGCTCGCGATTCTGAAGCTGCTGCAGCCGTCGCTGCTGAAGCTGCCGGTGGAGGACTGCTTCGCGCTGCTGACGGGGTCGGTGCGGATGGAGGGAGTGTGGAGAGAGGAGGTTTCGAGCGAGAATTTGTTCGCGACGATCCAGAAGATTAAGTTCTCGGAGAAGCAGCAGGAATTGATTTCGAGTCTGGTGGAGAACGCGTTCTTTTATGAGGAGGGGCAGAGAGAGGAGGAGGAGGCGATCGCGGGTAGGAAGAGAAAAAGGAAGGAAGGTGAGCGGTAGAGGAAAAGGGAAAGGGAAAAGGAAGGGAGGCGTCGCTGACGAGGGACGAAGTGAGGCAGGCGCTGTCTACGATTTTCTAGTTTTAGTTGCTGTGTGTTTGTTGGATAAACGGAAAGAGAGAGCGAAAAACAGCGAGAGCGAAGAGCGAGAGCGAAGAGTGAGAAGAAGGATCAAAGAGTGAAAGGTTTTATAAATGAAGGGGTGTTCGGATGGGTTACGATTGATTCGAGAGGATCAAATAGGTTTGGTGAATTGTTTAATGGATTCAAGGAAGTTCGATGGCTTCCAATGAGTTGTTTTCAATTTCAAAGAGAACCAATGAGATGTTCGATGGATTGCTCAAAGAAGGCACATCACACATACAATCCCCTTTTCTTTTTCTTCTCTCCGCCAACCCACATTTCCTTTTATTTCCTCATCAGAATTGTTTATTCTCTCAAACAAAGCAAAAACTTATACATGCGTTCTTCTAAAATCTCGAAGCGTCCCACTTCTCCTCGGCATAGTCGTTATGATACCGATTAATCCAGTGCGGATTCCACGGCTCCTCGTACGCCCAGATGCTGCGAGCCTTCTTCGGTCCCAGCTACCCATCACATCCCCATCCAATCATCACAGCTCTCATCTTCGCCAGCACGGCGGGCGGCTGGATCTTGTCTGCGTACTGCTTGTGCACCGGCGGAATCTGCGGAGGAAGCTCGCTCACCTCGAACTTGTAGCCCTGCGTCTTGCAGAAGCGGATCGCGTCCTCCTTCTTCTCGAACTTCAGCTGCATCATCTCGTAAGGGTCCGAGAAGCCCCAGTTGCCCGTCAGCTGATTACGCCATTGACGGTGGGTCGCTGCAGGTGAATGCGGGGTTTAATACCTACGGTCGGTCTTCCAGCGCACGTACCACGGAAGCGTCTTCTTCTTGCCTTCCTGGATGGGATCGTCAACCTGGAAGATCATGGCCTGCCGATTAGGGAAAAGAGAGAAGGAGTACAATGCGGTGCTTCTCGTAGGAGGGAGTCGGCTGGAGTCTCTTGATATCAGGATTTATAGGCTGCTCCTTCTCGGGCCTCGGAGGAACAGCAAATCTAGACAGGATAGGGTGTACTGACCGTAACGCAACCCATACAATTCCTACCACTCTGGCCATTCCACTCTTTCTCCTGAGGATAGTCCAGAGGAGATTCAGTGAGCTTGGGAGGACCGGGTCTTGGTGGGGGAGGTGCAGGCTTCGCGGCAGCTGGTGCAGGCTTCGCAGCAGCAGCTTCGGGTTTGGCAGCAGGGGCCGTTCCTGCCAATCGGGTGAATATACAGCGCTCAACAGCGATTGTCTTTGAGCAAACTCTGGCAAGCATTACTGAGTTGTATCTGATAAATAGAAGAGAAACTCAAATAATGAAACGCCCCAGCCCAAAATCGGTCCGATTTCTGTCAACAGGATTTGGGCCCATCTTGACTTTAATTCCTTGGGAATTGTACCCTATTATTTCTGCCTTTTGTTTGCTTTTTTTGAATTCGCTGTATTAAACATCGTTTTCTCTTGCAATTGGAGCAAGCTACAGTGAGATGCAACTATCACCCATTCCATTTGATATTATTATTTCTGGTACGATCTCTGTGCATAGTTAACCCTAGTTGAGTCGTTGCAGTCATTCTTATTCGGGTTTTTGACTGAAAAGCAAAAACAGAACTTGTTTTATTCATTGATATGCGTTTATATCTAGATTATCTTTTTATCTAGATGTAGAATGGCTGAAACAACAAGAATCACAGGAAAAGGTTTACAAAATATGTGATGATCTGTATTCTCAATATCTCGATGTTGCTATCATCATTTCTGTTGATTCTAGACAAAGTCTGAAAGTGTGAATTTTAAGGACATTTGTCCGCAGTATCTAGCAGAGCACATTGCGTGGATCCAGCAGCAAATTCGAAACAATAACGCAAATGTCAATCTGTTTAGTTTTCTCCAAGTTTGTCTGGCGTTCGTTCCTAACGCCTAGGAATGTGTATATGAGTATTTACTCCACCGCCTCTACCATCCATTTCTTGAAAGCACTTTTTACAAAGAGCTTCTCTCCTATCTTGGATGCGTCGATATTACGCTCGACACGCTTCTAAAATTCCCGTCCTGCGTCTGGTCCATCCCTCTCTCCCTTCCTAACCCATCAGTGCCTTCAAGCAGAACAATTGCGAATCGGAATTCCAAGACAGCCATCTCCAAGCGATCGCCCTTCTCGAACTCCACGTATTTTATCTCCTCACCCACCTCTCACGCCCAGCGTCTCCGCAAAGAACACCTCGACGCGTGCAGCCTCTTCTACCACCTCTCTTTGTACCTTTTTTTCTACGAATCCCAGTCGTTTTTCGATTCGCCGCTTCGCGATTCGCTTCTCAAGCCTCTTCGCCAGCTCCTCGATCGCTTTCCTGCTCCCTTCTCCTTCGACTCCCTCCCTCAACGCCGGGAATCCAATCAGTTTCGCTGCGCGCGCATCGAGGCTTCGTTCCCCGCCCAATTCGAGAAAGACCCGCTCGATCGGTGGAAGCAGCAGGCGGATTTGATGATCGAGCAGGTCGTTTCGAGTCGACTCTCCATGCTTTCCGTAGAATTCGAATCGAATCTCCACATAGAACCTCATCGAATTCGCCAATAAATCCACCCTGAAAACCGCGGTTAACGCCGTCGTGGAGATTCTACGCGACCGACGCTGTCGATTTTTGTTTGTCCAATCATAACGCGCAGCCTGCGCCGAGCTCCAAATCAAAGAATGGCTCAAGCAGTCCGTCGTTCCCTCCACGATTTCCGTTAAGAACCGCGATTATTACATCGGGTCGGTGCAGATAACCGCGGAACCGGAATCGTTTCCCTCGTTTAATTACCCGCTGCTGGTCAATCACATCGATAAAAACGGCGTGACGACATGCAATCCGAGTATTTTTGTGTTTGTTTCTCCTCCTTTCCACTAGTGAAACTGCGTTTGGCGGGTTCGATCCACTTCGTTTTGAAATCTCCGCACGCTCCGAACGCGCTGGACTCGCTTCCGTTTCATTTCGAAGTATGAATGGAACCCCGCGATCACGTGGAGGGCACCGAGCCGTTCTACTGCAAAGAACACCCGTTCGCTTCGCGGTTTTCGATCCTGGAGGGTCCTCCGAGCATCATCGAGCTCTCCATCATCCAATACGTCTGCATTCCCTTCGCTCCCAACATCCAAATGCTCTCCGACATCCCCATCAACACCCAGCTCCTCGACGTCCCGCCAGACGCCTCCCAATGCGACCGCTGCCACTCCTCCTTCCCCTTTCCCTTCGACTTCCGCATCCTTCCGCTCAACCAGCGCAATCTTCTCGTTCTCTTCCTCGTCTACGAGCCCGTTTCCTGGACTCTCGTTCCGTTTCCACGTTTCTACTATTCCGTAGCTGCTACCCCCCGACACCAAGCCGCGTTCCACGTTTCTCTCCAAGCTCCAAGCCTCGCCCGCCACGCCGCGCTCCCACGTCCGGTTTCCACGTTTCTACCATTCTAGAGCGCTGGCTTCCCCGTGGAAACGCGCCAGCCCACGGTTTTCTTCCTTCTCCTCCCGGTCTCGCTGCCGCCGCACTCGCTTCCCGCGCTTTCCACGCTGCTTCGCGAGCAATTTGCCGCCAATCCCACGCTCTGGAAACTCCTCCGCAAGTCTTTTCCCCTCCAATCCCCCGTTTCCACCGTTTCCCCCATTTCCACCACGCCCAACCCCCTCGCTTCCCTGGTTTCCACCATCAACGCGGGCGTTTCCTCCCTCGCCGCCTCCTGGCTCGCTCGATTCCCGCGGGACAGCGCCCTGGACGGCGAAGAAACGCCCGCGCCGGCTCCCGCGCCGCCTGCCACACCGGCGGCGCCGCTGCGGATCCGGCTGTCGAAAACGGCGGGGTACTCGCAGCGCGCGCTGAGCGCGGTGGCGAAGCAGACGGTGGAGCGGGAAACGCTGACGCCGCTGGCGTGTATGAGCGTGCCGTGGTCGCTGAAGCGCCTGGCGAGGAGTCTGAGCGCGAACGGGCTGGCGTTTCTGTTCCTCTGCGTGAGTCTGGGGCTGCGGATTACCGCGTGGAGCAAGCGCTGCGCGAAGTTCAACGCCGCATGCGCGATGATTGAGCGACTCGCGAGAACGGCGCGTGTGGAGGTAGGGGCGGAATAGAGCCGTTCCGGAATAGTATTACATCGTGTCGTATACGACGGAAACACTGTTCTCGCAGGAACTGTCGAACGAGCACTCGCCGGTTTTCACGTGTCTGCACACCGCGACGCAGTTTTCGGAGTTTGTGCGATCCCACGGTTTTAACACGCAGCACAACGCATCAGAATGTGGTGTGGAATCTGGAGGAAAACGAGTTTCTGCTCGACGGAACGCCGGTGAAAGATGATTGGGTGATTCCCTTCTCGGCGGATTTTGTTGAGCCAATGAAATCGTCGGAGTCAAACGAGTTGATTGATTCGATCGAGTCGAACGAGGAGGTGAATTTCGACTTTTTGAATTCCACAATTATGGACTATTTTAGTCAGGAAATGGTGCTGCGGTTCTATGAAGGGAAGGTTTATTTCTCGACGGATTTGGAGAAGTTTCGACGCAGTTGCAACCCGACGAAGGTGAAATTGATGGAGCAGTTGCTGAAGAAGAAGGTGTGTGATGATCGGGTTTTGTGTTTTGTAGTCGCTGTGTGCGCAGATTCTCCAGCGAATGGACGCGAATCTTCGTTTCTTAAAAGCAAATCAGATTGAATAGGATTGTTTGTTGAGAAAAAGCGAAACGAACTTTGTATTTAAAAGCAAAAATAAATGAATAATGGGAATCAAATCCGTTACGTTTTTATAACAAATTCATAACAAGAATAATCATTTTTTTTACCACAAAAGCACATCCATCCTCTCATTTCATTTCAATTCATTTCAATTCAATTACAAAATCCGCGCTTTTCTTCGCCATTCCCTCAATCCACCAGCGTCAATCGCAGCAGGCAGCTTCCCTTCAACCCCAATTCTGCCAGCGTCTTCGCTTCCTGACTCTACACCTCACCCCACGCCCAGATTCCGACGCGATCCAGCTCTTTTCGTGGCATCGTCATGCACAATCGGAATTCTGGAAATCCCAAATTATGGTCGAAAATGTCCAAATCGATCAAATCCAACACAAACCCGAACCGATCCGACGCCAAAAAGCTCCGCTGCAGCTTCGTTCCGTCCGGATACACAATGCGAAGCCGCACGATCTCCCCTTCCGTCGGCTCCATTGGAATTCCACGACGAATTGCCTCCATTTTCGCCGCTTTTTCTGCCATTTTCGCGTCCATCTCCGCTTTTTCGTTCGAATTCGATTCCGAATCTTCCGTCGAATTCGATTCCGAATCTTCCATCGAATTCGATTCCGAATCTTCTGCATTTCGCTGCGAATTCGCTGCGGATTCTGCCGTGTTTCGATTCATCTTGTTATGACTCGTTATGGGATCCCAACCATTCGACGGTCTGCCTCCACGGCCGCTTCATATTCGCGTCGCTGCTCTTCCATTAAGCGTCGTTCTTCTTCCTGACGCTGTCTCTTCAATCGATCGAATTGGATGCATGTACCGCGAGGTCGTTCTGATGGACTTCTTCGAGGGCATGGAAAACGGTGGCATCGAGAAGTTCCACGAGAAATTGGGGAGTGAGGTTGTCTGGGATGAATGGAATTCGATTCGAATACCTTGGTATTTGATGACGCCAAGGAGCGAGGCGGGACGATTCTCGTCTTCTTTGAGAGTGACGATGAGAATAGGGAGTTCTGTGATGGGGAAACCGAGTTCGTTGAGCTAATGGTCATGATGACAATAAGTGGAGTAAGTACAAAAGTGTAACCGTGAGGAGAAAGAACGTCACATCCCCAGGAAACGAACCGACTTTTCATATGTTCGACAACAATAGGGTTGGAGAGTAATCTACATGAAAGGAGAGATGGACGAAAACTTGTTAAAAGGCTCTGTATTTTCATGAAGGGAAGATGACAAATATATAATTGTGGGTAATTTTGACAACCTGGAAACAGCAAACTACATGAGAAGCATCGAATATTAAAAAACGGCATCATTTAGAGAGGATTCCATAAACTGCGTACACTCTGCGCCATACTTCGCACGAAACTGTTCACTAAACCGCATTCCTTCTCTCTGGGACTCGTCAATAAGCGATTCCTCTTCTTCATCACGTGAGTGTGGAGCAAATACATCTAGGAAGTAGAGATACACAACGTAGTCCATACAGTCAGGAAAAGTGATTGCAAGATAGGAGAACATCTTGTTGAAAAAATAAGTAGCAGAATACATAGTGCGACACTGCAATACAAGTATCAAAGATTACAATTGAATTTATGGAGTATTTTTGGAATTACGTAGGCAGCAACACACTTTTTCTTTCGTGTTTATCCTTTAGTTTGAATGCTCTCCATCCCCAAGTCTCTTTATTGTTGTATAAGTTCCAATCAATTGTGATGTACAGTCACCAGATCGTCTACTCTAATCTGTGGATTGCGTGGATTTAGTGAGGTTGCGAAGCCTCGAAGAGTATGTTGCACTTATTGTTTCGAATGGGTAGAAAGTTACAGTTTCTACGATTGCCTCGAAGTATCGCAAAGGGGAGAAGATCACGATGAGCACTGCCTACACCTACCCGGAAGTACGTTTCTCGCTTTCCTTTCGAATTAGGCGCTTTGGGTGGATCAAGCAGGAATTGATATGATTTTAGTTGGCGACTCTGTAGGAATGACAGAAATGGTAAGATTGCAGGAGTGATTTCTGATGGTAGGGGTATTCCACCACTCTCCCCGTTCAATTAGAAGACACCCTTCTGTTTTGCAAATGCGTGAGTCGAGGAGCGAAATTTCCACTTCTCATCGGCGACATGCCATTTGGCTCCTACGTATCTTCCAAAAGAACCTCTCAGGACTAGGAAGAATCGATTTCTCAATGCATCCATAACTGTATCCGTGTAATTAAAGAAGGTCAAATGGATGCCATTAAGCTCGAAGGTGGCGTGCGTCGCAAAAACGAAGTCGCTGCACTTTCGCAATGTGGAATCGCCGTCCAAGGCCATATCGGCCTCACTCCCCAATCTATTGGCGCTATGGGGGGTTTCAAGATCCAAGGAAAAACATGTAAAAAAATCCAAAAATCGGGGTTATTTTTAGTCGACGGCGTGATGAAACTGATCGAAGACGCGAAGGCGCTCGAAGCTGCGGGCTGCTTTTCACTCGTTTTGGAGTGTGTGCCCGAATTAGTTGGGGACATTTTAACCAAAAGTGTCCATATTCCTACGATCGGAATTGGGGCAGGGGCCCATTGTAGCGGACAGGTCCTAGTTCTGCACGACATGTTAGGGCTCCTGGATCATCCGATGAAGAGAAAGGTAAAAGTGGAAACGGGGAATCGAATATAGTCACCTCCATCGTTCTGCAAACAGTTTGGAAATGTCGCGGAATTGGCGCATGGTGCATTAAGTCAGTACCGAGAAGAGGTGAAGAATGGAACCTTCCCTGCGCCAGAAAACAATACGTATAAGATAACGGACGAAGAGAGGGAGAAGATGATGGAATTGTTGGCGAAGGTGGAGAAGGCGGCAGGAATTAAGATGGAAAGTGAGAATGATGAAACCACGAAGCTTTACTGACGTGTTTGTTTAGAAATGAGTTTAACTTGGGAACAACTACTATCTTTCTATTATAAAGATACATGCTTTCTCGAAGAGAATAGGATTCAATTAGATAAGGACGCTTCGGTGGTAAGTTTGAGTTTGTCACGTTTTATTAATAGGATGATGAAATAGAAATGGTAAAGAAGATAAATAAGTTACAAAGAGTTCTTGAAAAGAAGGATGAACTCGCAATGAAACAACTTCAACAATATAGTCAATTGGAATCTGTATTTTCTATCACTAGTATGTAATAATAAGGATATTGAAATCGAGAGATTGGAAAGCGATATTGACACCTTACTCGAGCAAACAGATTCAGAAGGCGAATCTCTACTACAACCATTTAGTGAACATATTGAATCTGTAACTATTTTTTATGAAAGATGAATAATGTAGAGTCGAAAACGTAGTCGGGAAAAAGAAGCCAAAACCAAATCCAAATCAAATGAAGATGAAGATGAAGATGATGAAAATTTGGATATGTTGGTGGTGTCTTCAGATCCTCGAAAGAGGCTGCGATGTCCGATAACGGGATCATTGTTTGTAAATCCTGTGAAAAAGTATATGGAAAAACGTGAATGTCATCCATAGTATAAAGTGCGGTCATTGTTACGAGAAGGGGGCGATTTTGCGCTATTTAGATAAAAAGAAAAATATGAATTGTCCTGTAGCCGGTTGCAAGGGAACAGTGACACGAAATGATTTAGTGGAAGATTCGGATATGTTATGGGAAGTGGTAGGTAACATTTTGGATTTGAAATGTAGTGGAGGCAGAAGTAAAGTAGACCTTGGGTGTTCTATAGTAGTTTTAATTTGATTGAATCTCTTTTCTTTTTATTTTTTTTGTTTTACAAATTTCTTGAATTATTTTTCCTAAATGGAGAAGTATATTCAACTTCTGTGCAGTCTTCACGAAAATGGGATTTCTAGAATTTCTACGGATGAACTTAGCGAATACTTGAAGATAGCAACAACAATTCAAGCGGTATTAAGCAATTTGCTCCATTAATCATATTACGTAGATTTGTTCGACGAAAACGGAAGATGAAATGCAGCAAATAATGAATTTGTATCCATGCGTAGAAAATAAGCTCGATTCGGACATGTTTCGACAAGGTATCATCATTTCTTGCATTCTATATAGCAAGCCTTACCTTGGTGAAGTCTATTCTCTCATGCAAAGATTATCTGAACGCCTCTATGTCCATCAAAGTGTTGGTGATGGATTTTATCGTTCACAATAATTTAACAAACTCTATCAGCAATGTAGTGCTCAATGAATTGATTTCCCATAGATTCTTACCGAATCATTTAGTTTGTGCAGGAAAGTCTCTAGTAATCAGAGGGAAATCGATGTCTTATTGGCTTCCCTTCCTTCTCATACCCCAGAACCGGATCGTTTGTATTCCATCGACCATCTTCGTTCGCTGTTTCTTTGTTTCTCTCTCTCCGATGATTCGATTCAATTCCATGCACAGGCCAAGCAGCTTTCAAATCATCTTAGCGTTCTACTGCGCGATACTCGTAGCGTGGCTCTTCAAACGACGCTCCACACACTGAACGAAAGAATGCGAAGCGATCAAACCACTCTCGTATTTCGTTCTTCCTTAATATGGTTGATGCATAGAGCGTGATGTTGATGGCATTGATTCTCACCTATCTCCCTGTGTGTTCTGTGAAATACTTTCCATTGGAGAAGGTTTTGCCTTTTCTTCCGACACAGGAGGAATCTTCGTTGCGTTATGTAATTTGGAAACTCCTCGAAACCTATTTTGATAATTACAAATGGGACAAACAGAAAGGATTCTTTTCGAAGGACAGTCGAGTGAGCTGCAATCTGCTTTCTGTCCATCCGTTCATTTTGTTCTTTGCAACGATTCTGAATTTTTCGTGTATGCAAGTGATCATGCCGATCATTTCGTTCGCTACTGTGTATGGAATGAATGAGTAGAATCAGGGAGTTTGTATGATGGGTAGAAGGCATAGTTTAGACCCTCAGTTGCGATTGTTGTGGAGTTGTTATGTTCAATGCTCGTTGTATCCTCAGCAGCATGAGTTTATCAAAAGTACACTGCGTTTAATGCAGTCGAAGATTGAGGAAGACAAAGATTTGTTTTTGTCGTTGTTTGGTGGGATTCTTTTGGATTTTTGTAAAATCAAACAATGTAAGAGCGTTGTAGAATTGCATACACGTCCCATACGAAGATCTAGTTGATATTATGGAACGATACAGTACAATCGATGGAGTTGCACTCTGTATTACTGTCCAGTTGAGACTGTTTTTATCGGCATTCATCCACTTGACAGAAAGATAAAACTACAAAACAGGCAATCCAGTTCTGGAAACGTAATTGCGAATCGACACGATCGTTCCCACGCCATAATAACAAAAGCCACGCTATGTCAAAACCATCATTCCTGCAATCAAACATTCCCATCTTGAAACTGAACCGCGATTATGTCCCCGATTCGCGGAATCCAAGCTTGCGTGACAGGATTTTCGTGGAATAAAGCATTGGACTCGATGTATGGACCTTCTTCATTCGAATCCAAGCCTCGAAAGTGTTGAAGCAAGCTGAGAGGCAAGAAGGGAATGGTTGGAACAAGCTGCCAGGGAGGAAAGAGAGTAACGACCTGCTCTTGATCAGGCAGTCGGAGGTGAAGAGAGAATAGAAGGCAATTATAAATAACAGCAAACAATTCTCTCTAACTACAATGACGCAAATTAAAGATGTACCTTTTCCACAGAAGCTTCGATCCATTCTCCTTGTTGGTTCACAGAATGCGATATCATAAACTCACTGTTAAGCAATGCAACCAACTCCTTGTTTGTGGGTCCCTTGTTTTCAGGACTCTGCGAAATGGGATGATCGAAGGATCGATAGAGAGTATTCAGGGCTGGTTCCTGAGAAGTAAAGCTCTAATTGAATCGCTTTGTCTATGCTACTGGGATGTGAATCGCGATCGAATCATTCGGTCGAAATTCAAAAAGTCGGTTGTTGTGTTTGCTCCAGAAATTGATATAGACTGCATTTGGCGAAATAGATCGGATTGCAGAAGGGAACGAAGACTGAAATAATATGGTAGGAGTTGCGGAGGGTGCAGCTGGCCTGGTTCGAGATTGGTTCGTTGTAGATGAAAATGGCAAGTCATTCCTGAGAGAGGTACCTTCGAGTCTAGCATTTCTGGTATCCAGAGAAACAGAAATCGGCGCTTTTGAAATTTCTGCTAGTCGAGGGAACTCGGATTCCCATACAAACGAAGCACTTTCCCAGGAGGTATCTATTGGCTGCTTTTTCTTATCTATATTGAATAGCATAACAACTATATATATATTTACACAATTCGTAGAGATGAGGAAACTCTGAACGCAAGAGCAAATCAATTGTTGGAGCAATGGAGAAATTGTTTGATTTTTTCCACTACGTTGTATACATTACAGCCGTTAATACAGGAAGTGTAATAGGAGACGGTATGCAGTCATCCTGTTTACAATCGATTACATGTTGATATATGAGCTGAAGTAACATTGATACACAACGGTTCTTCCTTTTTAAGTCGGGAACGTTGTGATAGTGAGGTTTCAGAAGAATTTGCAATTCACGGGCTGTGAAGTTCTTATAGATATTATCTTCGGTGTGCTGGATATTCTCCAATCGTTTTATCAATTCGGGATAGGTATTTGTATCCTTTTCCTTTTCCTTCTTGTTTGTGGGTTGGAATTGAGAAATGGTGGAAGAAGATCGTTTCTGGGAGTTTAGACTATTCGATTTTCCCTTGGAACTCTGGTTGAATGACCTTTTCTCGAGTTGTCGCTTTGCAATCTTCTTCTCACTCTGAGAATCGGGAACGGTAGCTCTTTTTCTTTCTGCTCGTCGTATCTCAACATCTGGAGGTGAAGTTGTTGTCTGACTTGTCTGATTTGTCTGGCTTGCCAAAACAGGATCTACCTGTGATAAGAACAAAATCTGCGAAGATTGTGATATCTTCTTTTTGTTTCGCAACGAGTACAAAACAGGCTATATGTTTAGACGACATTAGAATCGACAGATGTTTCTGATTCCGAAGCAGTTTCAATGTCGCTTTCACTGCGCTCTGGTTGGTTCGAATGTTTCACTTTATCCATATACTCACTAAAAGTCATTCTTTTCTGTTCTATCTTGTAATGAAACAATAACATATCGTTACCTTGTTCATTATCTATAATCCGTGGCATATTGTTTGTTTGACAAATTCAACGTGAAGATTGTAGTTTTCTACTGATTTTCAAAACCGAATCGTATTTCTTTTTGTGTTTTCGTAAAAAATAATTTGAAATGGAATTCCTTTGCTTACAATAATTGAAAAGAAAAGTTTGTAAAACGCGATTTTGTTTCTTTTTTAATATTACTATTTTTATTATTAATATTATTATTATTATTCTAAGTGTCCAATCTTTCTTTGGCATTTTTGAATATTCTAATTTGGACAAGAAGAATATATAAAAATAATGAACGGTCCGTTACTTAAAACCGTTTCTTGGGGTTTTCGTTCTTTTTGCCTCATCGGAGTACTTTTGTAATCTACAGAGTTATATATAGAGCAGAAGATTTTATATGCCTGCAATTTCTGCACATAGTTCCCAGTTTGCTGCTCTTTGTCTTCGTCATAAATATAATCAAATTGTGCTTTCCCGTTCTTTTAGTAAAGCTCCATCGTCCAGATCGGAAGGTATAATTCTTGAAGTTAGCGTAATTCGAAGAGGCTGGGCAAAGTAAATCTGAGCATTCGGTAAATTCAGCAGACTCGAAGGACGTGCGAAATGAAGTAAGAGATAGCATCCGACAACAAAAGGAAACCGATGCGAAAACTTGGGAATCAGACAAAGAATGTACGTTCTTGCTTGTATATTTCCCCTCTAGTTAATCAAAAATCTGAACCGGGGAAAAAGTCTTTTTTCGATCTGTTCACATCCGAGTCTAGTGAAAGTAGTTCGAGCAAAGAGCCTGGTTTTTTCGGTTCTCTCTTCGGTAATATGGAAAAGGAGGTCGCTCGCCCACGAACCGAAGAGGAACTCCTGCAAGAAGTGAAAAACGCACAGACATCCAAAGAGGAAGCTGTGCGAATTCTCAAAGACCTGGAAGACAAGCTCGCAGCGAACGCCTATCCCGCTCTGGCTCGTCCCCTCGTCCGGAGCACGGCCGCTCAGCTCAAAGAAACCATTCAGAAGATGGAATTGAACATAAACACTCTCAAACAGGAACTCAGTGCTGTCCAGAAAGCCGCCAAAGAAGCCTCCAAGACCGCGGAAACGGTCTCTAAAGAAACAGTAGAAACCGTGGAAACCGTGGAAGCTTCAGCAAGCGAAGCGGTGGAGACAGCGGCAAAGGGGGTGGAAGAAAACGCGAGCAAAGCGGCGAGCAAAGCTGCAAATGAAGCCGGGAAGGAAGCGGCAAACGAAGCCGGGAAGGAAGCGGCAAACGAAGCCGGGAAGGAAGCCGGGAAGGAGTCGGTGGAGAACACAGCGAAGAAGACGGTGGACTCGCTGAAAGACAGCGTGCTGAACCGATTCGGCAAGGGATCAGGGAAGGGTGGTTCGGACGGAAACTCTCCGCAATGGAACCAGAAACTTGTACTGTTTCGTTGAGTGCCTCGCTCATGTTCAGATTATCTCGTTGCTGGTGGGCGCGGGTCTTGCAGGGTTCGTCTATCTGAACTATACTCGCTCGCCCGATGTTCCGTACTCGACCTTTGTCAACGAGTTCGTGCTGAAGCACAACGTGAGCAAAATCGTGATCTACGACAACTGCATGGTCCATTTCTACGTCAATACCGGTACTCCGTTTCCACGATCCGCTCTCCTCTAGAAGTCTCCAATCCCTACTACGGGAGATTCGTTCCAGGCACGCCCTACACCTTCTACATCGGCGATATCTCCACGTTCACGATCGATCTGGAGCAAATGCAATACGAACTCGGCGTGCCTCGCAGCCAATACATCAACGTCGAGTTCGCCACCTCCAAATTCAACGCCTCCAGCATCTCCGCGCTCTCCTCCCTCGTTTTCATTCTCTTCCTTGCCAGTATGATGATCCCGCGCGGCCGCGGCGGAGGCATGGGCATGATGTCACGTGTCATGGGACTCGAGTCCAAAACCGTCGAAATCGTCAAGAACACGGGAGTTACGTTTAAAGATGTCGCGGGAATCGACGAGGCGAAGCAGGAAATCATGGAATTCATCGACTTCCTCAAAAACGGAGACAAATACGCCGCTCTCGGCGCGAAACTCCCTAAAGTTTCCACGTTTCTCCTTTCTGATGGAATAGGGAGCGATTTTGTCGGGTCCGCCAGGAACGGGTAAAACGTTGCTGGCGAAAGCGGCGGCAGGCGAAGCAAACGTTCCGTTTTTGAGTATCAGCGGTTCGGATTTCGTGGAATTGTTCGTGGGAATGGGAGCGAAGCGAGTGCGCGAATTGTTCGCGGAGGCGCGGAAGAACGCGCCGTGCATCGTGTTTATCGACGAGATCGACGCGGTGGGGAAGAAGCGAAACGAAGGCGTAGGCGCGATTGGATTGGCTGATGGGTAGAAGTTCTCGGGGTCGAACGACGAGCGCGAGCAGACGTTGAATCAGATTCTGATCGAAATGGACGGCTTCAAGCCGCGCGACGGCATCACGATCTTCGCCGGAACCAACCGGCTGGACGTTCTGGACCCCGCGCTGCTTCGCGCCGGTCGATTTGACCGGCACATCACAGTGGACAAACCCGACCTGGAGGGCCGCAAGCAGATCTCCAAGATTTATCTGTCGAAAGTGGTGCTGGACGGGGACACCGACGAAATGGCGCAGAAGCTCGCGGAGATGACGCCGGGGTACACAGGCGCGGATATCAACAACATCGTGAACGAGGCGGCGATCATCGCCATCCGCAACAAACACGAGAAAGTGCAGCTCACCGATCTGATCTCGGCGGTCGATCGCGTGCTCTGCGGCATGGAGAAGAAGCACAACCTCATGACTCCCGAGGAGAAGCGGAGAATCGCGTATCACGAAGCAGGACACGCGATGATTGGCTGGTTCAGCGATCACGTGGACCCCATGCTCAAAGTCACGATCGTGCCTCGCTCCAACGGCGCGCTGGGCTTCACGCAGAGCCTCCCCAAGGAGATACCGCTCTATTCGCAAGAAGAACTCAGCGAGATGGTCGTGCAGCTGATGGGCGGCCGCGCCGCGGAGAAACTGTTCTGCGGAAGCATGACGACCGGCGCGTCGGACGATCTGAACAAGGCCACGAAGCTGGTGTACGGCATGGTGGCGGGCTATGGCTTCAATGACACCGTGGGACCGGTGAATTATCAGCAGTCGGAGGAAGGCTTCCAGAAGCCGTTCAGGTAGGGGAAACGTGGAAACTTGAGGGTAGTGAGGCGACGGGGCGGGATATCGATAATGAGGCGCGGGCGGTGTTGAAGAAGTCGATGGAGAAGGCGCTAGCGATGTTGGAGGAGAATCGGGAGCGGATGGAGAAGGTGGCGGAGTTGCTGCTGGAGAAGGAGACGATTACGTCGGTGGATATGGAGGAGATTTGTGGACCGAGAAGAGGACGCAAACCGTCGGGGTACTCGCAGATTGTGCGAGATGTGCAGAAGAACGAGGCGAAGAAGAAAGAGAAAAAGAAGATGGAAGAGGAAGAGAAGAAGAAGGAGAAGGAAGGAGGAGGAGAAGAGAAGAAGGAGGAGGAGGAGAAGAAGGAGGAGCTGAAAGAAGAAAAGGTAGAAAAAGAAGAAACGAAAAATGAGAAGGAAGAAGCGTAGTTTTGGCGAACGTGTTTGTTTTAGTTCACTTTGGATTTGTATATACTGACGAAGGATGCTCTCACTTGCGAAGAGATTGTGGGTACGCTAGCTCGCGATTCATTGTAGAAGTCGGTGCCGAACATCGTATATTCCTTTCATTTCGATTTCAAAATCATATTTCTCGAGTTCTGCTGAAAGTGATATTTTTAAAGAGTTCGCATTTGCTGTTTTTCTCATCCTGTAGATATGAGTCAATTCAAAAGCGTGGAACAGAGAGAGAATATGTTTCATACAAACCGGGAGACATTATCCACGGATTCCGATGTGTTAATGTTCGTCCTGTTCCAGAACTGAACCTGACTGCGTTCCAATTTGTTCACGAGCGGACAGGCGCTGATTACGTGCATTTAGATTGTGCGGATACAGACAACACTTTCAGGTGTGTTGTATTTTCATCATTATAAACAGTGTTACCTTCCGTACTCCCTGTGAAAACGACACAGGTGTCAGCCACATCCTCGAGCACACCACCTTGTGTGGTAGTGAGAAATACCCTGTACATGATCCCTTCATGAAGATGCGAAAACGCTCTCTCCAAACGTATCCTTATTTCCACTATGCGAGCACAGCTTTATGAACGCCATGACATTCGACGATCACACCAGCTACCCCGTCAGTTCCACAATTCCCCGCGATTTAGCGAATCTGATGGACGTTTACTGCGACGCGACCTTTTTCCCGCTTCTCCGCCTCGCCGACTTCCAACAAGAAGGCTGGCGATTCGAGGAGAACGAGATCAAGGGCGTCGTGTTCAACGAAATGAAAAACTACCAATCCGATCAAACACGCGCGCTGTTTAACGCAGCGAGCAGCGCGTTTCTGAAGGGAACGAACTATCAATTCGTTTCGGGAGGCGTTCCCGCTTCGATCCCGCGGTTACGCTACGAAGACCTTTTAGAATTCCATCGAACACACTATCATCCCAGCAACTGTTTGCTCTACACGTACGGAGACATTCATCCTTCCCATCACATGCGGTTTTTGGACTCGCAGCTGCTTCAGCGATTCAAAAAAGAGCAGAAGAGCAAATCGATTCACGTTTCGACCGTCCAATCCGCCGTTTTGGATGCGTCGGAGCGAAGTGAATTCACGGCTCCGCCGAACGCAGATCCGAATGCACAGGGGTGGCATTATCTTCGAATCGTTCCGACGAATTTAACCACGGAAAGCGAAGACACGCTAAAGCTGCAGCTCTTGTCGATGCTGCTGTTTCGCGGACAATCATCCCCGTTTTATAAGAGCATGATCGAATCGAAGAAAGCGCAGCTATTCAATCCGATTCAGGGGTATATGGCGTTTAGTAAGAACTCGTTCTTTGGGATCGGAGGCAGCGAAATTCCGCTGGATGTAACAGAAAAAGAGTTTGAGGAGATGATTCAGAAGACGTTGGAAGATGTGCTGCGCGATGGGTTTGAAGAGAGAAGAATCAATGGGTTGTTGAACGAGTTGGAGTTGTCGATGCGACAGAAAGTAACGCGTGCGAAGTGTTCGTTGTGTTTGTTATGCGTAGAATTCGGCCTTTCGTTGATGCAAGGCGTTGCGACGGCATGGACGCACAACGCAGATCCAACGTTTTGCTTGTTGTTGAAAGACCAGCTGCAGGAAATGAAGGAGAAGGGAGTGAACAACGTCATGAAGGAAATGATTCGAAAGTATTTGCTCCCTGCGAACAATCGCGGAGTCAAAACGGTGATTGTGAAGCCGGATGCTCATTATTTCGATAAGATCGTGATCGTTTTGCGGATGAATAAAGCGTAGAATGAAGCAGAAAAGCAAATTCTTTCAGAGATTCGAGAGCAGTACAAGAACGGAGCGCCTCACTACGATTCGTCGATTAATCCAAACATTTTCCATGAAGAAGTGGCGGACTCCGTGCTTCCTTCTCTTTCTGTCGACGTATTCGAATCGAATTCGATTGAGTTCCAGGTCATTCCAAAGAAGCACTCTGTTCCTTCGCCCATTCCCGTGGTTTCTTCTTCGTCCAGTCGCGAGCCTCGCATTCATTACGTGGAAACAGCCACAAACAATATCGTCTATCCTCGCCTCGTTTTCAATCTAAACCACATTTCCTCCGTTCGCGATATGCTCAATCTTCCGATTCTTCTCTATCTCATCAACAACATCGACACTGAAAACTTCTCCATCGAGGAAATGGAGACGCTTACCAGCGAATGCAGCGGTGGAATCCGCATGAACGTTTCGTGTTATCCGCAATACCACGGAGATAACAGCTTGTATCGCAATGTAGTCCTCAAACCCGCGGTGAATTGTAGTACGTGAGTGTCGGAACGACGCTCCTCATGCAGAACCGCAATTTAGAGAAGGTTTCCACGCTTCTCCAAGCGAAGCTGCAGAACCACCAGCTCTCCCGCTCCCTCGATCGGATTGCGATTTTGCTGCAGTCGTTGCTGGCGAGTACGCACATGGAGGTCACAGACAACCTGCCTCTCTACAATTTGCGTCGAAACGCCGCGCAATTCTCCGTGCCGAGCTTCCTGGAAGATTGCTACAGCGGATATCAGCACGTTTTTCGTTTGCTTGGACTGTTCTCTGTAGCTTCGGCACGTTTTGTCGCTGCAGCCGCTCTGCGCCGACCCGGAAAAGCTGAAGGAATACGTGGAAACGGAGTTGCAGCCGCTGATGGATCGCGTGTTCAACGATCAATCGATGGAGTAGCAGTAAAACACCTCGTTGAGTGTAGAGTTTTCATGACGAGCGATGGAGCGAACGTGGAGGAGTCGCTGCAATGGGCTCGAAGAGCGGGAACGCTTGTCAATCAAACCGGTGTGTTGGGAAGAGAATCGATTTTCGGGGAGGGAGGATCCGATGCGTTCATTCACACATCGCCGCAGCACTTGAAGGCGCTGCTGGAAGGCGTGGATGGGACCATGGGACGCGCCTATCGGGAGAAGAAGAGCGTGTTTACGATTGCTCCGATCAACACAAACCACGTGTGCTCGGTAGGATTGAATCATCAGAGGGAATGACCGACAGATGAGTCCGTCGATCCATGCGAATACGCCGAAGTTCGATGGTGTCCATATTCTAAGTCGCATCCTGTCGTCCACGTACCTTCACAAGCATATTCGCGAGGAGGGAGGAGCGTACGGCACGGGCAGTTCGCATCTCAGCGGCGCTCTTTTCTTCTCCAGCTTTGCGGATCCGAACGTGCTTCGCTCGGTGAATCACTTTGTGCAGGGAAGCAAATGGCTGCGCGATGCGCAGTACTGTGAGAACGATATCAAAGAGGCTCGGCTGAGTTTGTTTGGGGAGATCGACGCGCCCGTGGAGCCGCAAACGATCGGCTTCGCGGATTTGTTCACGGGGAAAACGAAGGAGCAGCGGCAAGAACAGCGCGATCTGCTGTTGTCCATGACTCCACACGAGCTGCACGAGCTGGCGCAGACTTCCTTTGTTTGCGATGCTGCGCAATTGCGCAGCTGTGTGTTTGGCACGAAGGAGAGCAGCGCGGAGGTGGATAAAGAGGCATCGTGGATAGTGGAAGAGTTGGATTTGGGCCTGGACCAACAACAATAAGCAGCAATGCAGGGAATGTTTGAGAACAAACACAACGCGCTTTTTACTGTGATACCATCTATACTAACTTCGCGATCTCCAAATAGGTCGTATAAAGGCAAACTACCGCTCCAACGACCAAGATGATCCAAGAAATCACGTATTCGTAGGTCTTGGGCTTGAACCAAGAAGACCGCATCTCCACCGGCTTCGACTTTTCCTTGCGATACATGAAAATGAAATAGAGAGAAGGCCAAATGAACACGATGAGGGATCCGCAGAAGCATCCCGTGATTCCGAAAATATCGGTCAGAGAAGGGATCTTCACAGCCAAGAACCATGTCACCATGCACCAAATGAATCCCTCGACGTAGCGGCGCAGGGTCGTGCGCTGCGAACTGAAAAGGTAAGCGTCGATCGTGTTCACGGCAGGGAATCCAAGAATGGGATACGAGAACATCACCACCAGTCCATATCCAATTCGAATGATCGGCTTAAACCACACGTTCTTGTCCTTCATGGAATCCAAAATGGATCCCTGAATACTGTTTCCGAACGCCATGTAACCACAAATTCCCACGAAGAAATAGCTCAACGCACAAATCACGTAGGCAATGATTGTGGCACGCATGCTCTTGTTGACCTTCGTCTGGAACTTCGACTTGGCACTGAACTTCAGCTCACTCACAATCTTAGAGCTGTTGACATGCGAGCAAAAGCAAAGTACGAAGACAGCAAAAGCGGTTGACAAACCAGTTATAGTATCAGGCCATATATCCAAGTCCCACTAGACATAAGGAGAACGAAATAAAAAAAGTACTCCACGATCCACAATGCCAACAACTCCCAAATAAATGCAAGCAACAACGAAGATTGCGACGCAAACAACTGCAATGGAGGAAGTGAAGGCAAGAGCATCCATATTCTTACTGGAACTCAGAGGGAACAAAATAATGAGAGTAACGAAGAAACTAATCCACTAGAAATAAGGTGAGAAAAGGAGAATCGCCTACAGTTTTGTACTCATTAAAGAATTCTCCTTGATTGAATACCTCAGAACCAATATCCACTACTTGCTGGAAAAGGACATTCATGTAAGCAATGTCAATTCCAAAGTATAGGAGAACATTCGAAAAATCAGCTAACGCACCAACAACCTTGTTAGAAAGCTTGGTACCGACAACTCCATAAACAGACTCATTCGTATAGACTGTAGCACACGACAGATAATACGAAGTGATCAGAGAAGGAATCAAAACAACAATAATAAGGATGATGGAGCCTGCAACACCAGCAAGCTTGATACTGTAAGCAATAGACAAGATACCAGCACCAATAACTGTATTGATAAGATTTACGATGGTAGAACTGAAGCTTGCTCCCTTAAATGTCTCTGGGTTTTTCCAAGAAGGCTGGGTTTTCAACTCAGGCTTTGTAGCGGGTGCTTCCACAGCGGGAGTGTTTTGACTAGTAGTATCCTCTTCCTTAACATTAGCCACTGTTTCTTCCGGCTTAGGTGAAGTAGTAGGCTCCATTTTTAACGACTATTTAAGATTAAAAAAAGATTGAAAATCACCACGATATTTTCGTGAAACTCCTGTTCCACGTTTCCCTTTATAAGATGCAGAACAATAATAGGTTGTGTTTCACAGAAGTGCAAGATTTCTATCCAGTGTGAAAATTGAGTTGCTCTACCTAAAATAGAGTGTTTACAAGATTGGCCTCTTTTTTACTCAACGCGAAATATAGCATCCATAGCGCTTGTTAGAACACGAATAATCAACTTTAGCCAGTTTTCACATGGAAATATTGCGATCAAACAATGTGAACCTATTCACAAATTTTGGGCCTTTGTAGACCCAATAGAGCGGTCATGAGACAAACTGCAAGCGAATCTGTGCTTCCATGTTAGCTGTGGAATTGGTCTCATTTCTGCAGAGTTTGTGAGAAAACTTGAAATATGTATTAACATTTGTTACAACATGAATAGTTTGTAGGTTTGATAGCCATCCGACTTGTAAAAACAAATCAGTCTTTGTTATTCGAAGTATCGTCTTTTCTTGTGAATTATATAGTCAAGAATGTTTGAAAATAGGTTTAAAAAGGAATGCGTAAATAAGACCCTTTCACTCCAAAAAACGGCATGTTTTTCTGCATGTCATTTCATATACTTTTCACAAGATTAAAAGTGAACTATGGCGAACCAGGAATTTTCTAGCAAATCGCAAGAGTTTTGGTATATTATGGGAAAGGTGATGTCCTTTTTTCCGGTAATTGCTCTTGTTGGCTGTATCATTGCTTATTGCGTTGGATCTAGTCGCGAAAACTATATCAAACAGTATGGAATAAAGATATATGATTCAAAATTAGATATAACGCTGCTGTAAGTGACTGGATGAATGGAGGACAGGAAGAGTTCAGTGGGCTGTTTTTCAATATGACAGACGCTTCTGGTATTGAATATTTCCATGTTGTGAACCAGACTGATGGTCTTTATTATCCTACACGAGACTCTTGTAAAATGAAAGGAGACCCTAAAGTGGGGTGCCATTATACCGGCGCGCTGTATTACGATGAAGATATCGTTTGGATGATGCATGACAACTACTTCACTATCTATGATAGGGAAGGAAGACTCATCGTGAACCGTAAGGTTAACGGTTTCATGAACATCACCTATACTCCTGAGGAGTTGCGCTGCGGTCACACGCTGTAGTTGCTTTTTGGACGTTTGAGGGATAGAAAGTATTGCCAAAGTATGTGTGAAGCCAAGTCTGGAACCTGGGATCCTGACAACTCCATTTGCAATGTAATTTTGTACGCTAATCGGATTTGCTTCCGTCTGAAGCAGCAAGACGGCGCATGGGTTTTGGATGATGACAAGTAGCTCGTTCTCTGGATGGATCTAATGCCTATAGCTCGCGGAAGCTGCCTCCCAACCGAAATTATAAATTCGAATCCGATGGTTTGGGATGCACGTATGATAACAACTGGAATTCGATTCATTACGGAACCGTTCATTATTCGAACATCCGAATTAACCTTCGATCGGTGAAGGATTCGTATTTGGTAGCCTCTGCGTACACGCACGGCTGCAGCAATCAGGCAAATCTGGACGAACAATGCTTTGGCTTGCCACGATACCAGGAAAAGTCGGGTATCGTGATAGGCTTCTTTATTTCGCTTGGATTTGTTGCTTTCGTTCTTTTGGTAAGGTTTGTGTCGAGAGATGATGACTAGTGTGTTTGCATTTTGGCGATTGCATCAAAGCTGAAATTCAAGAAGGCAGTGCGTGATTCGATGCGAGAAAACAAGGATCCGCTGCTTACTGGCACAGTCTAATTGATTGATTGATTGATTAATGGATTGACTGAGAAAAGAAATATGTTTGATAGAAAAATGTTAAAAAGATGACTATACCGAGGCTCGAACTCGGGATCTCTCGCGTGTCAGGCGAGCGTGTTAGCCACTGCACTATACAGTCACACAATCACCTCCAAACTTTTGCAACTTGAAATAGCCAACTCCTCATGATTGCAAAATCTTGATCAAATCTAACTGTGGATTGAGAGGAATGTCATCTTCGCAGTCTTCTGACACGAACAGGAGGCTATTTCGATCTAGATATGGTTTTTCGGGAGAGGGTTCTCAAGATTTGTTGGATGGAGATAGATTCTCCTCTGTGCCTGTGTCTAGGAAGCAATCCGAAATGCAGGGGATCTTGGGAAGAAGCGCATCCATGACGATGGGAAGTTATCCTCGAAGTGATATATATTTTTCTTCTGCCCCGGGCTCTCAATTCCTGACCTCTGTTGATTCGAATCTGGTTTGCTCTGTCTGTGGGAGTTTGACTCCATAGTCCACCACGATTCAAGAAGAAAGTCTTACAGGGTCTCAGGAGCCGGTAACACCGACTTTGGAGGACGGAGAAGAGATTGAGCAATTATTACGAAATTCGGGCGAAGTCCAGTGGTTTGAGGTTCGCGATATGAAGTCGAAGAGATTGTTTTATTTTAACAACGTTACTCAAATATCGCAATGGGAACGTCCTGTTGGTGTGAATATTGTCCGAATCAATCAGACGGGCAGCGCAGTGATCTTGGGGAGCGGAGTATTCGAAAAGGATTACTCGCATCAACTGGGAGAGCAGTTTCAACCACAATCCTTTGCAAACCAAGCAGGTCATATGATCGATCCCATCAAATCGTACCAGGCCGAGGTGTTTAAGGAAAAAGATCACAATGCAGACTCGACTACAGTGGGCGAATCGGAACGAACTCCGATGTAGCGAGCGCAAACCAACTCTCATTTTTAGAGAAGGCGATTTCATCAAGCAGATCGACACCAATACATACGAAAGCTTTGTGGACCGTCATTTCCTGCTGTATCGTCGCGGCATTCTCAAGAGCAAAGTGAAGCGCGACAAAGTCATGCAGTACAAATCCGTCCCCATCAAAAAGCCCCTTCTAAAAGAAGCCTTGATCTGTAAAAACTCGGCCGTTCAAATCAACTCCTTGATTCTTCGCTACGTTCAAGAGACCGATACCGACACCAACACCGCCCTTCTGAGTTCCTACCGAATCATCCGACAGATCATCTCTCTCGTTATGGAGAACTACCAGATTCTCCGCAACGAAGTCTACTGCCAGCTATTGAAAACGATGACTTGCTATGACCAGAGCGTGCTCTACAGCGCCTGGATGATTCTAGCCGTCGCGTGCAGCTCCATCGCTCCGATCGAAGAGCTGTACGCCCACGTCATCAACTTCTGCGCGGCTTCGTATACGAACGATTACCTCGATAAACTGCCCATCGTGAGCGCGAAACTGCTCCGAAACACGATGGTTTTGAAGCGACGCCACGAAGTGCCAACGAACGCAGAGATGGCTGCGATTTTAGTAACCAAGCAAACGAGTGATGAGAGGTAGAATGAGAGTTTTGTGACCGTTCGCGTCTATCTTTACAACGGCAGTTTTATCAATATGAAAGTGACTCCAGGAACGACGGTCAATCAGCTTCAGAAGAGTATTGGGCGGAAGCTGAGGCTTGGAGAGAACGAGCAGTACTTCCGGCTCTTTGAGTGTCGTTCTGACAATCGTTTGAGTGAGTGAAGGCGTTGATGGGTAGTGGAAAACCCGCTGGAAGGCGAAATGCAGGTTTTGGATCGTGTTGCGATGTGGCAGCGATTGTATGTGGATAGTAAGAAGCGAGGGAAGGAGTTGCTAACGTACTTTTTCGTCTATCACACCTATCTGTTTGTGGATTTGGATCCGAGTTGCCCTTCGCAAGTGGAGCTGATGTTTATCCAGGCGATCTACGATATGAAAACGTGTCGCTATCCGTGCACGCTGATCGACATGATCACTCTGCTTGCGTTGTATCTTCGGAGTCGGTTCGACGATCAAGAGCTTGAAGACGATTTGTTTGAGTGCGTGCTTTGCTGAGCGGTTATTTCTAGCGAGGCGATCGACATTTATATCCCAAATCTCGAGCAATCCGACACGGAACTCGATTTTATAAAAGAGAAACTGAAGCTCTTCTACTCCAAACTGCAGAAGCGACCGCGCGAATGGTACGTGAATGCGTACTTGGAGTATGTGATGAGTTGGGAGTTGTACGGAATCGTAATTTTTGATGCTGAAGTGGGAGTGGAGAGGGCGATTGACGACTAGCCAGTGGGGAGAATGGATTTAGGAGAGAACTGTACTCTAGCAATCGGCAGATATCGCGTTTTTATAATCGACAGAGATACAAAAGTGCGGCAAAACGGAGTGAGTGATGCGTAGTTAATCTATCGGCAAATTCCTTTTGATGCGATCCCCTCATGGGATTATTCAGACGAGACCTTTACATTTTATGTCGGTTCGTTCGTACGGCAGGAAAAGTTGATGTTTGGGACTCATGAAGGGAAGCAGATTCATGAGCTGCTCCGTGAATATGTTACATATGGTGTGAGAAAGATGGAAAATACAGATTCATAAGGTGATTGATTGATTGATTGATTGTTTGTTTGCAAAAGAAGGCAGGAAATGTTGAATTGTGTGACTGGAAAGAACAAAAGAGATGATGAAGAGTGATTTCCTGTACAAGAGTCGAGCGACCTGTAGCGAAGCTACATAGAGGAATATAGCAGCATGCTTTATTTAAAGCGGGAAAAAAAGATGCAAATTGAAAGGTACTTCTAGTTTCATCAAGAATACTTCCCTCTCTACTATTCCCCTTGATTATAGATTGCTATAGGGGTTTTATTAATAATACGGTGGAAGAACTACGTGCTGCAGAACCCTTTGGTTGTATCTCTCTTCCAATTTACAAAATGGGTGGCAGTATGCCAAGGGAACCCATCGAAGAGTACTCGATAATCGAGGCTCTAATCCCATGATGCTTCTTCCCACAAAAGTATTATCGAAGTTCATTGATCGTGAAATAGTCTATATACGATAACAAACAATTCGTTCGATCATTTAGATTTAGCATATATATATATTAGTGACAATAGTTGGTGTCAAAATACAATTGTGAATCCCCTTGCACTTTTTCTCCCTGTTCCAATATCCGAATTGAAACAAGTTTCCACTATACGTGCTTATTCTTCAAATCACTGCTTTCCAAAACCTACCTGGTTCATTCGATACACAACAATACCGCTTGAATCCCTTCCAGAAATGTATATTACGTACCCATAGCACTAAAACCCTATTGCCGTATATACTTTCTGCATTTCTTCAACTCCGGCGAGAAAATGTCTGCATTATTTAGTTTTCGTTATTATAAATACATGTACTTTATTTTCGAAGACGTGCTCACAAAGACACTATTCGAACTTCTACTCTTTTTACTCTATTGTACTGGTATTCCAAAACTCATTCTAATTAAAGCCTCTTTCCTGAAAGTTTGGAAAAGTCAAAAATGATCAGCTTATCTCTTTGTGCCATACTTGCCTACTCCAATAGGTTACTCGCAGTGTTCCTTTCCTGACCCCTTGTTTCTGTCTTGTTCCTCTTTGTGCAATGGGCAAAATAAATTGAGGTTCGGGCGCTAGCCAATCATTTTGAGTACACAAATTAGTTCATCCAATCAAAGATGGCAGTTGGTTTTGTCCAGTAGTAGTCGCTGTGTTAAGAATAATTGTGGTTCGACTTCATATAATCATTGGAAGGATGATTGAGCGGACTTTGGTTCTCTTCGTTTTGGTCTATTTAGTCGCTTCTCAAACTGCATGTCAAGAGGATGAAATGCAGCTTGAGTTCCGAATGGTGTGCAAAAATTATTGTAACGAAGAAAAAGTGCAGATCCTAAATGAGTGGGGAGTTTTATATACAGAACCTGTCTACGTGAACAATGTGGATTCGGAAACTCACGTTTGTCTGGAAAGAACGAACGATGAAATGTATATCCTGAACCTAATGGATACGGCAAATGATAGATGGGATGCAGGTTCCTACTTGACCATTATTGGTGAGTATGGAAATGTCTTTTACAAGGGATATATGATCGACAAGAGTCGAGAGACGTTCCCGCTCTCTCTCCATTACCCTATTCGCAAGAATAGTGAATGGAAGATCACAAACAATGCTCAAGGAAGTTGGACGCAGACTACCTATTCTGATGATAGCTGGTCTACAGAAACAATGGGTTCCGTAACTGGATCGTATTCTGGGACGCAGTACTTCCGAAAGCAGTTTAGCGGAATGGAGGGTCTTGCTGCATACGAGCTGAGAATGAATTATCGCTATGGTGTTATTGTCTACATTAGCGGAAGCGAAGTTTTCAGAGATAACATGCCCTCGGGAGCGGTGACAGCCGATACTCATGCCTCTTCGCAGTACGAATCGTTGGGCTATCGTGGCTTTATTCGTCCGAGCCTCGAAATTGCTCAGTCCGGTGTCGTTGCGATTGAGCTTCACTTTACACAGGACGCATCCTCCACCACAGTGGTGGATTTTGATGCGTTTATGGCTGTGATGACCCCCTCTACCGTTGGCAGTAGCTGCTTCATCTACCCCTATACAGTTACGCTCTCTGGATCATCAGCGTCGGTGTTAGGGGTGCCTCACACTTTTGATATGGACCGAACTTCTGCTCTGAGTTATCACCAAAGTGAAGAGTTTTTTGTCAAGTATACCGTCAACGACCCCATTTACCCCTATATCAACGGTATTCGATATTACACGAATTCGGTTACGAACAACATTCGAAGTGCTGTTTTCTCTGGCAGTTCAAATGATAACTCGTATACTGATTACATGGGCATTGTTGAGGATGCTTTTGAAGCGTCGGTGTACAATTTCTTCTATGGATTCTGGGGAATCTCGACTTACAAGTACTTTAAACTTACGGTATCAGAGAAGAGCGATTCCTCCATCTACGTCTTTGAAATCCAGCCTCTGATTTGCAATGTCACTCTTCCAAATACCATTCCTTTCAAATCAGAAACCTACTCTTTCTACAGTAACCTGGAAGAAGTGTTGGTCTCTTCGACCCTTTATGGCATTTCGAACTGTACGATCAGTCCTGAGTTGCCGAATGGCGTGACCCTCAACCCGGAGACCTGCATCATCTCTGGCGTTTCCACCGAAGAAACGCCGGAAACGCAGTACACTCTTTCTTCTACTATTGGGTCCACGGTCATTTCTGGATCATTCAATCTTTCGACTCCTGCGTGCGCTGGATCTGTAATTCAAATCCTCCGTACCTACAGATCGGGAGCCTCGAATGAGGAGTTTACCATTGTGAATGCTGATACCCAAGAAGTCTTGTACTCTGTGGCACCCAGCAGCGGACAGCCCAATAATGAGGACTGGATGACTCGTATTTGCGTTAATGCCAATCGAATTGGAGTTGACGTTGGTAGCTTTGGATCATATTGGGCCGAGAACTCTTTCCTGTACGTCCAGGTGATTCTTTCCACTGGATTTACGGAAACGCTTCTTCGAGCGCGTTATGATATGAATTTGGGATTGAGCACGTCCTACTACGTGTCAGTGGACTTCCCCATTCGTCCTTTTGAGGAATGGCATTATTACACTGCTGGCGACGTTCCCGATTCCTGGTATTCTGCCGAGACGAGCGGATGGTCGAGCGCGTCGAAGGGGCACTTCACTCCGTTCACCAACCGCGTGCAGCTGTACAAAAAGACGTTCTCTCTGGACTCTCTGGAGAACGTGGCCGGGTTCATGGTGTCGGTGCAGTACCAGTACGGCGTTGCGATCTACCTGAACGGAATCGAGGTGTTCAAGAACGGCATCACGGAGGTGAGCTCGACGGCGACGATCAGCAACATCTACCCCGCCCTGACGTTCCACAGCGTGACGCTGCCGGTGAAGACGATGATCGTGGACGAGCAGCCGTCGGTGACGTATTTGCAGAGCGGGTCGAACACGATCGCGATCGCTCTGATCGCCAACTCGGACACCAACGTGAACTCCACCTTCGATGCCGCTTTGATGCTCCTCGGTAATAACGAGTACAGCCGTGTGTATGACTA